AATGTTAGGTTACCTGCAACCGCAATGGACATTACGCTGTAACTGTAGGGCCGATGGTCGAAATTAGCTTGAGCCGCTATTATAAACGTGAAAATTTGTGAGTTTGTGTGTTACTCAATAACGTCCAAACGGTCGAAGGGACCGAGATGTAATTTAGAACAGAGGTAGAATATTGTCTGGACTAACATATTGGCAACTTATTATTACCTTTATTTTTTGGAAGGGGAAAATCATTCAATGGCTTTCCCGCCCGGGTGAGGCCAGAGGGAGTGTCAGATTCTTACTGAATAAAAACCACCCCGTTCTTGAACTTCTGCACTTTGAACAGGAGCCCCAGTAACCCATAATATCACGCCTGTCATCCCCAAAGGAGTAGGCAGAGGTGCACATTACGGTAATTAATGCCACTATACAATGTAACACCCACTTTTCACTATTTATGTTATGAGTCCCATGTAGTATGGGGTGAGCCTATTGCCTTAAACCGGGCACTATCCCCAGCATCCCGTTAATCATAATAGTCTGCTATTTTACCTGTAATAATTATATTGTTTCGGCAGGTGCCATAGTCATTTAGTCATCCATGGTTCCTAATTTACCAGTTCCACAGCAACCCATCCATAGCCTTTTTTTCTATTATCCACAACAGTTCTACACTAACCGAGGAATGTCCTTGTGTGCATTTCCATATTGCATACAGTGATAGTCGCCGGTTTGTGTGTCCATTACATTTAGATTAAAGTAGTCTAAAGGGTCTCTGCGCAGTTGGCTTCGGCGCTCGTACGCCTCCCAAATGACCGGGACCCTGTGGTCCCGTGAATGGTAAAGACATACATAATAATAACCATTTATTTCAGACCATGTCCATATTCCTGTTAGTAACATTTAACTTAAAATCTAATGTTAGTACACATTATATCATTTAAACTGTCAAACACCAAGCGGTCACCGGTGACCGCAACTTATTGTTCTATAATTGTGTCTACAAAACCGGTACTCGACGAGTTAATAGGTCAATATACAAACAAATAGATACCGATAGGACAATACACACCAATACCACCACCAATACACAAAACCACACCGCCCCATCCAATTTTTTTGTGCTAGCACGGTTACGATCTCACCTATACACAGAGTACCACTGATCAATAAATTCACCATTATTTATTTCCGGTGTTAACCATGTTTCAGACTTTCAGTCAATACAATGACTTCGTAAGCCCTCGTCGGGATGTTCATGTAAAGCATGCAGTTTCGTACGGATGCCCCTACAATTTTGATAGTAATTGTTTAAGTAATTATTAGTCACTTGAGATATATAGTAACTAATTTGCGTTTAATAATTGCGCATAAAGCCGTATCATGCACATACAATAACAAGCACAAAGGCAATATACCGTAGTGGTAGCGTTGTGATTAGGGTTGCCACCCGTACTTTACAATAAAGTATTGTACGTTATTTAAGGTAATTGTACTCTATACTTTATAAGAATAATAAAGTACACGAAAATACTTTATTTTTGCAAAATTTGATATCGATATTTATCGACTTATGTTGAATCGATTTCGCCACTCACCAGCGTCACTTAGACAATTTCTAGTATGGATGCAATTGTTTAGTAAAGATACTTATTTAATACAAACTGCAAAAAGCAATAAAAAGTATATTTTTAAATATATTACTAAATAAGATTAAATTGTACTTTATTTTTGTACTGCGTACTTTTTTTTCTTACCTATAATCAGTCAATGTACTTTAAATACCAAAATAAAAGGTGGCAACCCTAGTTGTGATGTAAAGCAGAGCCAGCTTGCCATCGCACCGCCGTATCAACAGAGGAACGGCGGGGCGCCATCCTTATAGTGGACATTCCACCCATTCACACGAAGCGTTTCTCGTCAAGCTTCCTCGTGCGAACCACTTCCGAATGGAATGGAAATAGAATTCCTTGCCATAGTCTGTGTTTCCTGTCAAATATGACTGGGGGTCTTCAAGTCCCGAGTGAACAGATTGCTCATAGGTAGGCGTACTCCATCGTCGGCCACATCATCGCTTACCACTAGGCGAGATGGTGGTCAAACGTCGACCTATTAAGTATTAAAAAAAACAATACTAAATAAAAACCAGGTACCCAGCTGATCCGGCGTATAATTGGAAATATTGATTGCATTATGAAAGAAGAGAATCTGAACAATTTAACAATATACATATTATAGTAACGTTCTGGTTGTATGTGATATAAGTGAATTGACAGGCGATGTAACAACTAACATTTATGAATGAATAAGCAAGTTTAAAAACAAGAAAAGCCATTAAGTACTTAGTACATGATATGAGAAATCTTAATTATACAGGGTAACTTGTAACTTGACGTATTCCTCTCGGGAGGTGATAATGCAACTAATTTCCTACCAAATTAGCCCTGAAGCTGAAGAAATAAGACGCATATTCACTTCAAGAGCTCTGACTAGTTGCTTCATTGGAGCCGGCCAATCAGAGTGCTGAACGCGTACTCATTTCGTTACTTACTTTAAACGTAAATCAAACTCGTACTAAGGCCTCTGATATTTTTCCGGATTGTTGCAGATTTCGATGTTACAACTTCTCGCTTGCTGCTCTAAAGAGTCGATTTTGTGTTGAAGACTGCCAAATAATGCATCCGAGCAGTTACGGGCAATGTTGTCGATACACTCCATAAGATCTTTGTGTTTATCAGCCTGAAATTGCATGGAAGTAGTCAAGTCTGTAACAATCTGATTAACATCATCAACGCGTACCTTCAAATTCTCTTGTTCCATGCGAAGAATATTCATGCTCTTTTTGATTTCTGACCACTGATATAATAAAGAATATCGTCGCTGAATCTAGATATGGTAACCTCCATCTTTACACGCCAACCGCGCAAGGTGCCTTTAATGCCATCAGCGAATGATAGCACAGTACGATCTACATCCTTACGCCATTCCTTCAGGGTGTTGTTAAGTTCTGAGGAGAATGTACCCAGTTCGTCGACGGCAACGGCAGTTCGCGTATCGTTGCCCGAGACATGTGGAGCTTTATGACGAGACCGGTGACAAAGCTTGCTGTTCCAAGTTGTCACAAGACATATTCATTGTGTCCTCACTGTTCAAAAATATGTACATACACAGAGCGATTATTAATGGTGGAATTGGAGCGACCCCGTCGGGTAATATTATCGCAGGAGAAGCACATCCAGTGAGACTTTTGGTCACAAGTAAAGCCCGCAAATTGATGTTGCGATATATTGAGGCACTCGCAATGGTACTTTCCGTCACAGATACGGCATGTGAGTGACAGTACCGAGGGCCCTGAGCGAGAGGCATCTGAGCGGCTTTTGTGAAATGTCAATATTATGATGGCAATAATTTTTTGTTATGGTGTGACTAATGCCACCTAGTGTCCTGTGTCGGTACTAGTTGATTGATTTATTAACAACGCCTCTACGTGATTCACACAAGTCGTGATAGATGTCACTGTGTGCTAATGCCACCTGGAGTCCCGCGTCGGTACCATTGATTGATTATCCACATAGCCTCTGCGTGAATCAAACCAGCTAAGATAGATGTCGCTGAAAAATTTAGATGTATATTATGTAGTTTTAAAGATCTAAGCATACATAGGGACAGACGGACGGCGGCTACTTTGTTTAATAGGTACTAGTGTAGTGATAGCCTATGATCATCATCGATAATGTAGGATTCCGACGGTAAAATAATTTTTCAAATCGGTCCGGTAGTTTCGAAGGAGACTTCCTATACATAAAACTATTACTATACTTTCCTCTTTGTACCAACTATTAGTGTAGATGTAGATTATGTATGTAGTTTTTAAATAAACCCATCTTTTGTAACCATTTATCGGTTCAGCAGCCAACCAATGGTTGCTGTCTCTGTACTGAATCAATCTTTATTTTGTTACCTGCATAGTAAACAGTTGTGGTGACTGAACAAAAATATTAGGGTTTTCGGAATTTTCCTTTATATTGTGCTACAAAACATTGGTTCATATTTTTATATCATAATCAATAAAACAATAATTGATTATGTAATTATTTTTAAACTCATTTTAAGCAAATCAAACGTAGGTAACAAAACAAACTGAATTGCTTAACTACTTCCGCTCGGTTTTACCCGCTTTGCTCAGCGCCTATTGATCGGAGCGTGATGTTTTATAGCCAATAACCTTTCTTAATAAATGAACTATCCAACTCAAAAAGCTGTTTTCAAATCGGACCCGTAGTTCCTTAGATTAACGCGTTCAAACAAATGTATATAATGCGTTATAAATATTTTGGTTATTTAATTTTAGCACATTTAATTAAAAGTTTGTTTTTAAACACATTTTTGACATATTTTCATATATTGATATTACTCCCTATGTGTCAATTGGTAAGTACCAATTCCCTGATTCACAGTCGTGTTGGCAAATATAAAACGCTATTAGAATTTAGAAATAAGATAATTGAAGAAGATTTAGGTTTTTTAGGTACTTAAGTTGGTACTTAGGTTATATATAAGTAGGTAAGATACATAAGAACCACACGAACGAAGTCTCGTCGTACTCGTTGAGTACCGTCATTATAGACACAATTATAGAACAATAGGTTGCGGTCACCGGTGACCGCTTGGTGTTTGACAGTTTAATACTAGTATCTATAGAACTAAATAGGTACCAATTAATGATAAAAGTGTTGCTACTGTAATTAAGTTTCACCAAGTCGATGGACAGAGAAACAGATAGATTATAATTAAAATATACTACATACATAGGTACCTACTACAATCAAATTACAATCAAATAGTATCTAAAGCCGCCCAATAAGTACTTCGACACGTTATTTTAAACAAATGCGGGTTGGAGCACAAAATCATATTAGTCGCCAACAGAACTGACAAGGAAGTTGGTATGTTGCAAAAAAGGATGTTTTTTGTGGGTACCCGAACCCGGGCCGTTGGCGAAATCTATTGTTGTGTCCGGCGGGCGGGGGTAGCAATAACTGCGCAGTAAGGGTGCACTGGAACTTTTACCTGAGTTACGTACGGCTTGCCATTCAGTAGTGTACCACACTTCGGAGTGACTGGATATACATAATTATGCGGCCTGTAAATTTTAGATATAGGGGTTCTTCGAGAGATGAGTGGGTTATCGTGGAATGGCCAACTAAAAAGCGTGATTTGGTCAACATGCTATCTATTTTGTGCCCTTCGCAATTTGTGAAAGCCGGAAGATATGTTAACCTGCACTGGGCTGGGAGGGAGCATTCGGCACTTGTTGTTGCGGTTTCAAGTAAGTACCTAATTGTCTAATTGTAAAGTATCATGCTAAACTTTAACGGTACATTATGTGAGGTATATAAACATATTTCACAACAAAGGTATACCTAAATATACGTAATTATAAAAAAATATACCTATATGCGAAAATTTGTAAAGATGGATGTACCATGTATAGTATGTTTACTACCCTGACATGAAAAACTAATGGATGGGTTTGGATGTGATTTTGTTCAGATATAGATTATTATACAGTCTGGAATTATTTATTGGAATTTTTATTATGGTAACGCGGGCGAAGCAAGAGCTGGTTTAGAATTTTTTTTGATAATATCTCTTCCCTTCAATTGAAAATTTACCTCTGAAACGATTAACAGGAAAAGAAAGTACTAATTGTTTAAAAGTAGGACCCATCCGTCCGAAAGCGTACCCATTGACCATATTTAATTGAAAAGGTCTATTGAGAACATAATTATCAAATTTGGTCTTATTTGTATATCCAGCCGAATTCATAAAGAAAGAAAGATAAAAGTGGTTTGTTCCAACTAGTATAATTGACAATAGACAAAGCGTAGGTAACAGAATATAACAATAAGTTTGCACGAAGGTACCCGATACCCGGATCTTATGATGTTATCTATTGGACTTTGTTTCAAGAACAATGTTTTAAAGAATTACCTGACACTCGGTTTAGGGTACCCTATAGAATTGCTATGTATTGTCTCTCCGTCTGTCTATTCATGTGTATTTTAAGACCACTTTACGAACATACATATCTAATGGTATTTTATTTAGGTGTAATCAGATTGGGAAGCAATCAATTTGATACCTAAACCTTACTCTTGAAATTACCTAATCAGTTACAGGCATTTAAATTCTAACAAGACCCGCCATTTTTGTATCGTCAAAATTCCAAGGCTTCTGATTGGCTACTCGAAAGGAATGCTTGTTCGAATCGTGGTAGGGGAACGCCTTGCCGCAATAAATCGCAATTAACGTATAGAACCGCGGGAAATTGCGTCTCATGGCAGCATGTGTGCAAGCCTTGGTTACCTTGAATACCATTAATTAGAATATTCCATTATCACTTTATTGCACATTGAACAATAGATATCTGTCACTCTTCTTTCTTTTTAAATATCATTGCTAGGATTGTATCCTTTGTCGTAGGTAAGTACTTACGGTTACAAAAACATGCTCTCACGTGCATTTATACATGTATTACATCCAGCCGTCCCGCTCGACGCGACGGTAACCGACGGCTCTGTGTGGCGTCGCGTCGTCCGTAATATCTAGTAAGTACTGGAATGAGAAAGTACTGAAAAAAAGGAATAGATCTGTTATATACTTATAACTACTACCTGATTCTTCAATGTTTAATCCATTAAAGCTGTTATTGGGATCGATCTTCGGTTCTTCATTTCGTCCCACTGTTTGTGAATCAATTGGCAGCTGAGGTTTCACGTACATGTTACACGCTACGTAATAGGAACAGTTATATTCTTTCATGGGTTCCCTCACGCGCTTCTCTCGAGCATACATCGGACAATTCTTGTTCAATGCCATGTGGTCACCCCGACAATTCACACATTTGAATTTGTTAATTTCACAATTACTATACCATTCTGTACATTTAGGACATACAATTTTGTTAGATGGGCATCTTGTTTTAATGTGGCAAAATTCCAGCACTTTGAGCACCGGATTACCGGAAAAACAAAAGGATCTACCTTGGTACGTCCGTACGTAAACAATCTACATAAATAAAGCTTGGTAAATGTGACCCACTAAGCCGATCCGTACTACCTCACCCGGCGGCTGGGTACCCAGCCGCTTTCATGGCGCCTCTGTAGCCTTTTTACAGATATTATTTGAATATAAATAAAAACAATAAAAAAAAATATTTCATCAACTATTATGTAGGTACATACCAACAAAATATTAGGAAAAAACCTGAAATGCTTGTGGTAGGCGATCCTACTATACCAAGGACATCAGCTAAACATAAGTTTATAAAAATAAATAAAAAGAAATAAATTTAGACTTAAACAATTATAAACTGAAGATTAAAGGGAATAAGTAAAATTAAATTTTACTACCAATATTACTAGGATATTTAATCGCAGTAAATATTTCGTCTTCTTTTAACTCCAAATCCACGTTCCGTATAACTATGAGGTATTCACGTCCGTGGCGCCGTACACCTTCCAACCTTTGGTTTGAAACTCTTGACAGTCCAATAACTTATTTACACATTCCTCGGTCGAAACTTCGATTCTTAATTTATATGAGTTTATGTACTTAACATGCTTTATCTCAGTTAAACCTATACTGTTAAATAATTTTGATATGGCAAATTGTTTGGGTAGCTTTTCTTTACTCCACATAAAGACTTCTTTTTTAAATTGTTTATGTTTTTTCCCCTTGTCTCTTACCACTTTAGTCCAACTTCCTTCATCGTCTTCTTCTCTTCCTCGTTTCATTGGTTTACTTATTATATCTTCTTCCATAACTTGTATTTCGTTATTAGTAGGTTCTGCAGAGTTTTCTACTAAATCTATTTTGTCTCCTTCTTTCTCTTCTATTAGAATGTGTGACATCCATCTATCTCCTGGACCTTGATTGATGTCTTCTTGGTCACTCGTACTATCATCACTGTACCCTGTGGCCATTATCAGATCGCGATCATCGCCGATGCGTGAACATAAGAATAATTTGACTACGTTGAAACTACACACGCGCGCTAGTGGTTTACACGAGTGCGGTGACAGAACAATTATTTTTTTTAATAAAACACCATGTACCATCGACCCAATAAAAAAATCTGTAAATTAAATAAACCGACTTCAGTCCCTCCTTTTTTAAAGCCGGTTAACCTTCTCCAAAGTATAACAAACACTTTTCTGGAAACCCAAACAAAATCGGTTCACCCAGTCGCGAGATAATCGTGCACAAACATAAGAACCTCCTTCTTTTGTTAAAGTCGGTAAATTAAAAGCAACCGGTACACTAACGTTTTCTTGCAGATGATCGTCAAAGGCTGGAAAGTATGATGAAACGACCAAGGTCACCTGTAGCAGGTCCTAGCAGGAGCAGGAAGATGGAAGAGATCGATGGGGATTATTCCTCGAGTGCTTCGTCTTGGAAGCCAAGTGATGATGACACTACGTCGTCGGCAGACTCCGATGAGGTTCATTCACCTTTACTAATTATAAAATATATATTAATGCGTGTTTGAACAAGTTTGGTTACTAAACATGAAGAAATATTATTTCCATATACACAAGAACAGATGTACCTACAAGGTATAATTTGTTATATCTGCACAAATCTATACAAATAATGTAACCGTGTCGTCTAAACTAGGTATTCCTGTATCTTTGTATGGTCGTGCCGTTGTTAGGTATAGGTAGTATAGTATAGTATAGGTATCAATTACATTTGTATAACTAGTATGTATACCTATATTCAATATACTAATTTTATCTAACAACTAAAATAATGTTACGTAAAAAGTAAAAAGGTGTGATGTCATATTCAATTAAAATAAAATAAAAAAATAAAATAAAATAAGCCTTTATTACTGAGGTTACAAATTTACAATTTAGTCTATATTACTATACTATACATTAGTATATTTATCCCCAGCTTGTCCTTCGACATAGGCCTCCAAAGATTTCCAATTTTCCCTATCTCTCGCAATTCTCATCCACCCTGGTCCAGCAGTTTTCCTTAGGTCATCTTCCCAACGGTTTGGTTGTCGCCCTTTGCTCCTTTTCCCATCTCTGGGGTACCATTCTGATATTGTCTTTGTCCATTGCATATTCCTCTCTCGTATCATATGCCCTGCCCATTGTCATTTTAGTGTTTTACATAATTTCCCTGCATCTTTAAATTTAGTTATTTCCTTAATTTTTTCTTGTCTTACCTTCATATTCAATTACTGTCCCAAAAATATTCGTAAAAATGTTACCATTGTTATTTTATTAAACTTTGAAATTATAAACTTTTGCAGGACATCCAAGCAATCAGAAAGCACAAAATTATTGCCAAGAAACGTCGACTATTAAACCGACATTCAATGAATAACCTAGTGACTCCAAAGCACAGGTCCCCTCCAATTGAATCGCGTTCTGAGTCGTCATTAAAGAGTTTACACAGAAAGAACGTAAAGTCCCAGGATGGTAGAATTAACAAGGGATGTACAGACAGCTCATTGCCGGCTTTGGCAAGAAATATCAGCGCTGAGAGAAAAAATCAGAATATTCAACCAATTACAAGAGCCGATTATCTTTATCGTATTGAAAATTTGTTAACGAGTTTTGAGTGCCTACTACATTCTATCATGGAACGCAGAAACAATATGTCGCCGAAGGCTCGGCGGCTGGAGGAGTCACCCCAAGCAACACAATGGCATAAGTCGCCCGAGGCGCGAGAAGAGTGGCATGAGCCACCCGACGCACCAGAGTGGCATGAGCCACCCGAGACGCAACAATGGCGAGAGTCGCTCGAGGCGCCACAGAGGCATGAGTCATCTGAGTTATCGAAGTCATCGGAGTCACTGGATGCACAGGCTTATAATAGGAAACAACAGCGAAAACATATGAACGGCTTTCTAGATGAGGCTCAAGCTGGCCCCAGCCGCCCCGTGGAATCCACGGAGGAAGATCATGAGGATGAGTTTGATCGATCAGATGACGAGGTCCTCATCAGTAACAAGTTCAGCAAAGTTCTCAATAAAGAAATTCATAGAATGAAAAGGGATAAAAATATCAATCTTAAAACTATAGAGAAAAGTATAAAGAGGCTCGCAGACGAACTAAAAATAAGTAAAGCAATTACCGAATTTAAAGCCAATGAGGAAAATGAAAATAACATTACTACCATACAACCAATACAGAAACTAGATAAAGAATGGGTAATGTTATACCTTTGTTATAGTTCCTTTATATACCGTATTCCTGAAAATGAGAAGTTAAATAATAACACTTTAGTACCTATTATTTAACTTTCCATTGAAAAGGCTTTTAATTATTATCTTAGAAAAGTACAGTTAGTATGCATAGGTATATTATATTAATAACATTTTACTTCAGGTTAAATTGAAATAATTGTGCCTACGTCATAATTCTAAATCGCTAACAAATCAATGCTTTTGTGAATACACAGTAAACTGTGACTGGTGTTGGTGGTGTTCCAACTAGCATCTGCTAGTTTGTGCCACCAACACGTGTTTGTTTTTGATAACAATAACGTGTTCCAATTGGTATTTGACTTTACCTTAAATGTCAAATACCAATTGGAACACGTTACTGTTATCAAAAACAAACCAAATAACTTATTAGAAAACTTTATTAGGCGAAACTTAGAAGACTCTTATTGAATTGGGGGTAAGGGCAATGTAACAATAAGAACATAGGTCGAAAAAGACATGTACTTTTTACTATTACTTATGACAATAGAAATATGAAATGGCGAAGAGTTCCAATAATATTTTTATCAAAAGGTTTACATTAGAATGATAATAATATTCTTTTCAGATCGGCATTGGCACCGGAAAAACATTGGTGCATAAGGACAAGTTCAAAAATGTCAACTGGAAGTCCTATTCAATTGCCACAAGGACTTTGCTTCTTGCAGTCTTTCCAAGACGGTAAGTAATGCAAACTATACATATCACAACTGTGTTGTGGAAAATTGGAATAGGGTAGATGACTAATTTTTATTTTAGTGTCCGTCTTGTAGATTATTTAAAAACATTAGTGAAACAAGTGAATTTATTTCTGCAAATAGGCTACGAAGCAGCACTTTTACACGTCAATTTTATTAAGCGAACGATGAGGCCGACATTTCCTAACTGACTACTCTGAGAAGAATTGCCGAAACAAATTCAGAGGTCCGTCTCTTTTAAAGTCCAGACAATTGTGTATAAAACATAATTTGTGAAAACCGTACAAGTTCTTTCTGTAGTGGCCTTTTGAGAAAAGAACCACAACAGTTTGAGCGGACCCGTTCTAAAGGCAGTACGCATGTGTCGGTTTACAGTCAGCTCAATTAACAGGTGAGGCTGACTGACGACGTTGTTGTTGTTAAAGAACATTTGCGCGGGTTGCACAAATACTCAAACTGTCAGAATATGGGAAATTATAAAAGAAATGGCGAGGTAAAGTCTCGCACGGTCCTAGCATTAACAATTATTGTAAAAATAAAAAGTAAATGTCAAGGTAGAAAAAAAAATAAAAAATTTCAAAAGAAAAATGTCATATTAAAATAATAATGTCAAATTGCATACTTATAAAAAGAAATGTAACTATATGTTATAAACATGTCAACATGACCTGTGTGGACATTACAGTAGTTTATTCCCAAGCCCGACTATCATCTAGGTAGTCTTTTGTTTTATAAAAAGCTTTACTATAATGTTTGTCTTTAATAACATTTTTAAATTTATTTACACCAAAATTTTGGATATGGCTGGGAATTTTATTGTAAAAGCGTATACTCTGACATTTAAACGAACCACTTATTTTCTTAAGTCTAGTAGGAACAACATATTTGTCTTTATTTCTCGTGTTGATATTATGTATATCAATCACTATGCTTTTTAAGTAAACTTTTGTTTTTATGAGCATATACTACCTCTACATTTTCATAAATGTATTGAGACTTGAGAGGCAACAGTCATTACATTAATTTCTTTAAATAGTTCACTGAGAGACTACTTCAGACTAAGATAATCGAATATAATTGATCGAATGGCCCTCTTCTGCAGAACAAAGATAGACTGAATGTCAGCAGCATTCCCCCATAGGAGAATACCATATAACATGACACTATGAAAATAACTAAAGCATACTAATTGGGCTGTATCTACATCGGTTAAATTTAAATTTTTTTTTAACGGTATATGCTACAGAACTGAGTGTTTTTGATAACTTATCTATATATATGTGGAGCCCACTGGAGGTTAGCGTCTAGGGTTATACCTAATAAGACAGTAGAATCTACAGGGCCCAACTCCTCACCCTTAATTAGTTCTCTGGTTTTCACATGTCCAACATTTGTTGTTGTAAATTTAATGCATTTAGTTTTAGTTCCATTTAGTAATAGGTTGGTGGCACTAAACCAGTGTACTATCTCCGAGAGAGCAATGTTCACATTATCAATGACTACGTTTAAGTTTAAATAATAACGAAGTATCATCAGCAAACAGTACTATCCCGTGGTTATCCCTTACAAGGTAAGGCAAGTCATTTATATATATAAGAATCAGAAAAGGGCCGAGAATTGACCCCTATGGAACTCCCATCTTGATAACAGACCCGGCGGAGACTTTTCCGTTTCTCTCGACTCTCAGAATTCTGTTACTCAAGTATGAGGTAAGAAGATCCAGAGATTTACCTCTTATTCCATAGTGGGATTTTTTTTTAAGGGGGGAAAATCATGGAATGGCTGCTCCCGCCTGGGTGAGGCGGGAGGGAGTGTCAGACTCTTACTGACTAAAAACCACCCCGTTCCTTCTCCTGCACGTCGAGCCGGAGCCCCGGTTACCCGTTAGGTTCTCCGCGACTCCGAATCGGCATCGGCCCTATTGAGCCCCATATGTGGTGGTCTGATGGCTCTTTGAGACGCGCGCGGAACGCGACGCGCCGCACGCTCGGATCTGTTTCTGGTCGGACGGGGAGCCACCCGTGCTCGCAGGCCCGCGCTTACGGTGGCCGGAGATCGTCCCGCGATCCCCGACGCCCGGTGTGTCCTTCGCGATGGCTGGGTTGCGAGGAGGCAGGCTTCGCTGCCTCACGCGTCCCGCCTCCTCCTTAGCTAGCATGACTGCTTCGCAAAAGGAGGAGACGGCATCCCAGTCCCCCTCGCTCCGCATCATGGCCTGCACTAGGACGCGGACGCGAGAGGTCGCCATCGCCGATCACTTCCCTGAGGGCACGGCGGTGCTCAGCCCACGCAGGGCATTCTCCCACCGTGTGTTCCACCGTGTCCTCAGGGCGGTCCTCGCAGTGATAACACCTGGGCTTTTCCTCCCGCCCCGTCAGACACAGGTACCTCCCGAAACTTCCATGTGAGGACCTGCGTCAAGCGGTAGGTGAGAACGCCGTAGCGTCTCTCAAGACACTCCTCAAAGAGGGGACTTACCGCTGCGATGGCAGCGAGCCCAAATTCCATAGTGGGATAGCTTCCTGATCAATGTATCATGAAGGACACAATCGAATGCCTTGGATAAGTCACAAAAAATGCCCAAAGCGTCGCTTGAGTCCTCCCACGCGTCATGTACGCCCGTTGAAATCCATCCCCTGGAACTGATATATTAGTTCATTAATTAAACGGATCAATTTAGTTAATCATTGTTACTTGAACAATAAACAAGTTATAAAAACACATTGTTCATACAAGAGTAGTCTCTAAATATTGGAAATAAGGTCTATAATGTAGTTAGTAGAGAGCGGTCACCGGTGACCGCTTGGGGGAAGTATGGAACTAGCAAAGTTTTGAGGTATCGTTAAACTACTCAAAGTATATTCGTAATTTTTTTATCGACATTAGTACATCTCATCAGTAGTGGGTAGCAAGTTAAAAAAAAGTTCTACCTATCTACATTATTTTATTGTGAATTTTTATTTCAATCAAGATGTCAGAGTTAACACGTCGAGATTTTCAAGCAATAATGTTCTATAATTTCAAGCGAGGTTTGAGTGCTGATGATTGTGTCGGTGAATTAAAATTTGTATTTAATGACAAAACATCTCGTAGCTCAGTGTACCGATGGTATAAACAGTTCCAAAGAGGAAATTTTAACTTTCCGACGAATCTCGTCCCGGGCGGCCTGTTGAAGCGGTGTCCCCAGAAAACGTAGCTGCAGTTCAGAAACTACTTGAGATAGACAGACTTGTAGTTTATAAACAAACAGAAGAACTTCCACCAAGTACCCCACCTTTTAACAGAGGTCCAAATAGAGTGTCGTAAGAAGTGGTGTCAAAAAATTCTCACCAAGTTCGATGGCGGAAAATCTTCTGGTGCCAATTCAATAGTAACCGGTGACGAATCTTGGCTGTATTATTATGACGTAAAATCTAAATCAAAAAACAAGGTATGGCTCTTTGAAGATGAGGAACAGCCGACAACCGTCAAACAACCACGATCTGTAAAAAAGAAAATGGTCGTGGTCTTCTACGGCAAAAGGGGTATTATAAAACGAATCACTCTTGATGAACAGAAGACCGTTACAGCAAAATGGTACACCGAGATTTATTTGCCTTAATTGATTGAATCTTTAAAAAATCTTCGGCCAAACTCGCGCCTTGACACCTGGCGGCTTCATCACGATAATGCTCCTGCACATAAGGCTCAATTAACTCAAGATTTTTTAAGTCAATCTGGTTTAATTCATTCTCCTTACAGTCCTGACCTTGCTCCCTGTGACTTTGGCCTATTCCCAATGATAAAGGATAAACTGAAAGGTCACTGTTTTCCGAATGATGACCAGTTAATTCAAGCCTGGGATTCGATGTGTGATGAAGTCCCTGAAGAAACATGGAATAAATTTTTGATGATTGTTTTCGACGTATGGAGAAGTGTATCAAAGCCAATGGAAATTATTTTGAAAAAATATAAAGTAAAGTTGCCAAATCTCAAAACTTATCTAGTGACTCGATACATCCCCAAGCGGTCACCGGTAACCGCTCTCTATGATTAAGAAGTTCAACACCGGCATCAGTTGTTGAACGACCTCTGGTAAAACCAAACTGGTTACCATGTAATAATTTATTTCTATTAAATAATCTTTGCATTTGATTTAGAATATTTTTTTCAAAAATTGTACTGAAATAGGTCTAAAGTTAGTGGGGTCAGATGAACTACCTGATTTAAATAACGGAGTTATTTTACTATTTTTCATGAGATCAGGAAACATAGCGCGGTCGATACAGTTATTAAAAATTAGAGGTACAGGTATACAGGTGCTAAAATAGCTATAACAGAGCTGGCGATGTACACAGAATTACCCCACAAATCTGCAGTCTTTTGTCATATTCAAAGTTTGGAAGGTTTTGACTATATCTGTATAATCTATGTGGTCAAAAGAGAACCCTATGTTGCAAGCTATAACATATTCTTTTAGTAAAGATTCTGCAACAGTGGGAGATGAATTGAATGACTTAGTCGTGGATATAGGAATGTCCGAAAAGAAACTTTCAAATGAAGCTGCAACTTCTGCGTTTGATTTTATTACATTATTATCAATTAGAAGACTAAATTCATTACTTTTCTTTTTAGATCTTCGCGTCTCACTGTTAATAATACTCCAGGTCGCTCTGATGACGTTGGTACTGTTCTTTATTTTGGAGCTCAAGTACTGCAACTTTGCAATGGCGTAGATTAGACACGTGTTTTTTTAATTTTTTACGGAAACGAATAGTTTCAAAGATATATTGATTTGAAATGTCGCGTAACATCACTTCTATGTACATTTTATACGTAGAAATTACGTTTTAGCCTCCACACCTATTAGAACGTAAATTTTATACATATGGTTGGATGTTACATTTTGAATTTATTTTTTTATTTAAATTAAATAAAATTAAAACTAAATATTACTAAATTAAATATATACAACTTATGACTAAAATTAATTATAGGAAAAATAAACTATTTATAAGGCATCGAAAAACTCGTCCGCATTATAGACATAGTTGTTATTTAAGTTTTTTATTGAAATACATGCATTTACAGATTTAAATTATATTGAAGGCATCTGATACTTTGTATAGAATACTAAAGACTTATAATTATTATCATGTAGGTACATATTTCGTTTATGCTTTTGATGATCTTGTAATAATTTGGATAGTTACCACTACCTCACATAACCTTTTTGCATCTTACCACCTACCACATATAGGTACATATAGGATACACTACCCAAAGGATGACTGGCAGAGAATGCTGTTAGCATTAAGTCCTTTAATGCAATTGTATAATTCTTAAGTAAAGAAACACTACTATTTGATTCCACAGAATCTTGGCTACACATTCTTTGACTGGAAAAAAGTCGCCAGCCTTCCTTCACAAGCCAGCCAAATTGTGCCTGGATCCACAAACAGTTGCTGATGTAATTTATGAGATTATGGATAAATTTGGCGTAGAAGAAAGTTTAGTTCGGTGAGTTGATAGCTATTTCTAGTGTTCTTTCTCCAATAGTATTAGAAATATTTAAATTTTTCGTCTTACTCGTATAATTATTTGACGAGGTAAGTAGCAGAGCGACAACGCCGCGCCATCGTATAGCTAATCGTGGAGGTTTTACCCGCTTTTCTTAGCTCTTGTTGTTTGCAGCATGATAGTAAATGAAATATCCTTCTTGATAAATGGACTATCATACATATACCATAGACATACCAAATTATTAGTTTTATATATAGTTTTCGACTTCTTACGTAATTGTTTGACGAGTAGCAGCGCGACCAAGCGCGACAGTCGCTGCGTCGCGGCTCGCGGAATGCTGGTAATAAATATGAGCCTCTAGCATGGCTTGAAACTAGTCGAGCTCCTCGTCAAATAGTTACGTGAGTAGGCCGATAAATATAATAATTGCTTTAACTTTGGTTAAATACTTTAGTAGACAAATTAACCCTTAATTTTATTTGCAGGGCCACCATTACTACTAAGTGCTCCGATGAGGCTAAGATGCTCAAAATGCGTCACGATAAACGTGAAGATGACGAAAACATCCCGCCGCCACCAAATGCAGACGGAAACGCCTAGATGTTGTTAGTTGACCAGTTATACGACTACAATGCGTATAGCATTTCCGATACCTACGTTAACCGATTACGCTAATATATTATACGTTACACATTATCCATAAAAGATACAAAGGTAAGAAGTCCCACCACTCACCTGAATGATTTAATAACATTTGCTAAGTTATAAACCGATTTGGTAAGAAATTAGAAACTAATAAACAAAAATTTTGAGTTTAGTCAAACACTTTGATAAAAGCAATGCAATAGATTCCGTTGGTCTGTAACATACACCATGTGGGGAAAGTGGCAAATATGGGCTCGATCCATAACAGATTGTTATTCTTATAGTTTGGCTGTTTAAGGTAATTAATTGTTATCTAATTGAATTGATTATTGTCAAATGTGATTGTCTTGTTTTAATATTAATTGTAAGTTAATAAGTCTATTGTAAGTCTCTGCGTCCTTCTGCGATATGGTACGAATAGAAATACAAAAGGGTTCCTAAAATTTAAAAAAAGTCTATTCGACTAAGTGCTTCTTTAGTCAACGATAGCAAGGCAGACTGGATTTTTTTTACTTGACTTATATTGGTGCCAAAGTTCCTGTTGTACACGATAAATACAATAATAATATTTATCGTGTATAATTATATTTTTGTCATGTTCACTGTTATGATTTTTAATGTTCATTGTTTATGTTAATACGCTTTGTTATATTTAACTAAACTTAAGTTATCTGACAATTGTGCACCATTTTTCTTTAAAACGAATACACATTTATTTTTTGTTTAAGCACCAACATACATTTCTAAGCGTTTAACTAGCAATACTGACGAGACTAGACTATATTTGGGTGAAAATAAAAAATAAATAGTTTTGACACGACACCTACAAATTCTGGCCCGGTAACAACCTGTATTGTGAGTCTTAGTCGAAATCGTTTGAGCTGATTACTATATCTAGGGACAAATCAGTGTATTGTATAGCATACATTAGTAGTCATTTTACGCGTTTATTTATTCGGAAACATAACACGTAGACAACTGATGTTTAGACTTGACATTTGCGACAATTAACCCAAAAGTAGGTTTTCGCGGTAATGTTTTTTCATTTGATTGTAAGTACCAAATTGTTTTGATCATTTCAAGTTCTCCCAAACGTCAAGGACAATATAATTATGTATATATTAAAAAGCCAATATGTGATTTTGGACAAAAAAAGATTTGTCAGTAATCTGATGTTTAAATTTCACCTGATTTTATTATAAGTAGGTGTCCCTGAAAGTACCGACCATATCGAACAGGGGTATGGGAAGGACAAAATCCAACTTTTAAGCCCTGGTAACGTCAGTGCTATTCGAAACAGATCAATAGCACATAATTAAATATAAGTAGAAATGAACTACCTACTAATTTTTTCATCGTTTTATCACCATATTGTGGGAAATGGTTGAATAAAATAGTTACAACTTTTGAACCGTTCAGAATTGCATAGACATTCTTTGGGAAAAAAGTTAAGGCATGACCTTATCCATGCAACTGTTTGTTTATATCACACCTACTTTAAGGGACACCTCCACGATCAACTTCAATAACTAAAGTTATGAATATTATTTTGTGATAAGAAAAACTCTTTTAATTAAGAATTGAATAATTATAGACTTGTTTGTGTAATTTGTACGTCTTATGTCTTTGATATTGATTTCTCTGATGACTTTTATATTAAGATTATAATTATATATTAAGATTGAATAAAATATTATAAATAAGTGCACTTAATAAAATAATAAAATTTTAGTTATTTTGTTTTATTCATCAAAAAGTAGTATACTATATAATACACATTCCCTTATAGATGTCACGCGGTGTTCCACAGGGATCGGTTCTAGGGCCGCTCCTGTGGAACATCGGTTATGTCTAGGTACTGCGCACCGAGGTCGCACCAGGCGGCGGCCGATTTAATGGCGACAGCGGTCGCGACAGTCATTGAGAGAATCCGGCAATTGGAACTCGAGATGGTGCTCCACAAGTCCGAGGCCATGTGTTTTCATGGCCGCGGGCCATGGCGCCCGGCACTCGGAGGAGGCGCCACCTCCGGATGAGTCCCAAATAATGGCGGGAGGGGTTCCATCGGCGTCGAGACGGCGATGAAGTACATACCATGTTAGACTTAAGATTTTTTTATTTTTTATTTTAGTAAGTTATTAGTATAATGCGTCAAGCGTGTCTTTGCATTGTTCTTACATATGCGTACAGTATTGAAATATGTATCAGAGACATTGTAGAACATAATTTTTTAAAAGAGTAACGAATGGAGTTTCTTGCTCGTTCTTCTCCATTCGAATCTACGTTTTGGAATGAGCACCTAGCTTCACCTAGCTTCACTGACGGACTGACTGACAGACTATTATTTATTTTGTATTTGTTGACGTTTCAAAAGTACCAAACTATGGTTTAATTGAAATAAATGCTTTGACTTTGACTTTTGACTTTGACTTTACCTAGGGCTCGTCCTCGACAGTCAGTGGAACTTCGTGGAGCACATCCGACGTTTGGCTCCAAAGTTGGAAAGGACGGGGGCGGCGCTTAAGCACCTCCTACCCGAACTCGGGGGGCCAAACGCCTCCTTCCGAAGGTTATATGCCGGGATCGTGCGGTCCATGGTCCTCTACGGCGCCGCTGTGTGGGCGCCTAACGTGATGCGGCGGCCCGCTCGGGCGCTGCTCACGTCACAGAGTGTCATGGCGATCCGAATGGTCTGCGGATACCGCACGATCTCCGGGGAGGCGGCGAGCCTCCTTGCCGGATTACCGCCGTGAGACCTGGAGGTGAAGGTGCTCGCACGCGTGTATTGTCTGCGCGCGGAGGCACGTCACCGGGGCGAAACTCCGCTGCCGCGCCAGATAAGTGCGTGGCAGGAAGAGCTCCGGCGCGATCTCATGGTGGAATGGCAGCAACAACTGTCGCAACCGAGGGCTGGGGTCGCTGCCATTCCAACGGTAACGGTAGACGCTACAACATCCTCACCTACCGCCTGACGCAGGTCCTCACCGGACATGGGTTTTTTTGGGACATAGTTTCGGGAGGTACCTGTGTCTGATGGGGCGGGAGGAAACGCCCGGGTGTCATCAATGCAAGGACCGCTCTGAGGACACGGTGGAACACACAGTTGGGGAATTGTCTGCATGGGCTGAGCACCGCCGTGCCCTCGGGGACGTGATCGGCGATGGCGACCTCTCGCGTCCGGCCCTAGTGCGGGTGATGATGCGGAGCGAGGGGGACTGGGATGTCGTCTCCTTCTTTTGCGAAGCAGTCATGCTAGCTAAGGAGGGCGCTGCTTTTTCACAACCCAGCCATTGCGAAGGACACTCCGGGCGTCGGGGACCGCGGGACGACCTCCGGCCACCGTAAGCGCGGGCCTGCGGACAGCGAGCATGGGTGGTTTGCCGCCCGACCAGAACCAGACTTAAGCGTACGGAGCGTCACGTTCCGCGCGCGCCTCAAAGAGCCATCAGCAGGCCGATTCAAGTAATAAAAACCGTAGCGATATCGTAGCGACTTAATCGTTCAAATCCTTTTCGTATTCACATACATCAGTCGCGTTTGATCGACACCGATTTTGACCACCATGAATGGGGTCCAATAGGGCTGATGCCGATACGGAGCCGCGGAGGACTTAACGGGTTGCCGGGGCTCCGGCTCGAAGGGCAGGAGTAGGAACGGGGTGGTTTTTAGTCAGTTAGAGTCTGACACTCACTCCCGCCTCACCCAGGTGGGTGCAGTCAGTCGCTGAAATTTTTAGAACATTTAAAAAAAATAGGAAACTTCCCAATTGATCTTTACAGTGATCAGATTGACTCAATTAATACTCAATCAACTCAATTAATGTGTATGTGAATGTGAACTTGTACGTTTGTAAACGAATCCACAACACAGGCGAAAATCGTAGTGTATGGCCAAGTTTTATTAATAAAGAAAGAATAGAAGTTGTATTTTAAGTACCTAGTTTTTATATAAATTCTAAAGAACTAATAGGTATTATAAAGCAAGGACTGCATTGAATAAGCTCTGAATCTAAAACTACTGAACCAGTTTCAAAATTTCATTTATCGTTGGTAAACTGACTATTCAATAAGCAAAGTATGATCATATTTTTATACTACGGGGTAATATTTAAACTGTCAAACACCGCGAGGACACCGGTGACCGCAACCTATTGTTCTTTAATTGTGTCTATAATGACGGTACTCAAAGAGTAACAAAACAATAAATATGTATATGTGATATTCCTAAATAACCCCGCTTTTATTGAAGTGCTAAGTATACAATGTATAAACTGACAAAGAAAACATTCTCATTGACATCTACCCACAGATTTCAATAAGTTTTTTTATTGTTACCCGCAGCAGCCAGGGCAGTTAGTAAAATCTATTGGCGAGTCCTGAAATAGAACTTTGTCTGAGTTATCTAGCGAAGTAGACGCTAGACTTTGACGTGTACTAAAACAGTACTACATTTGGAAGATATCAATTAGTTTCAAAATGAATAGTTTAAGAGAAAAGGACGTTGACTATGTGAATGAAGATAAAGACCATGATCAAGGTATGGTGGGCTCCCACCTAGTGTCGAGGCAACCGTACAAGGCGGCCCTGAATGATGGCAATCAAGCAAACAATTATAGTGCCGAAGTAACAAGTAAGATGCAAAATGACAGGAACTTTAGGATGTCAAATATGAAACCAGGAGTAGAATGGGTAATGTTATAATTTTATTTATATTTCGTTTATAAACACACTATATACTTAATAGCCTACGGTTTCGCTCGCGCTCTTCTAAGAGATGCAAGATTTTTTGTTAGCCTCCAATATTTCGCATGGGTAGCAAATTTTGTAAAGAATATTTACGAATGTTGAAAGATTGCATTACAGTTAAGTTACATAAAGTTTTAATTGAAATCATCCGACAACATTTTCTGCATCTTCATCTAAATCTGCATCTCAATTCAAATCAATTCAAAAGCTTTTGATAAATGACTCACTATCAACAATTACATATAATGTGTATTAACTCGTCGAGTACCGTCATTATAGACACAATTATAGAACAATAGGTTGCGGTCACCGGTGACCGCTTGGTGTTTGACAGTTTAAACCGTAAACATGTATGATATCTACCTATCGAAAGTTACAAATAACGAAAGCAATTCAAAAGTCACATTGAGAAAAAAAAATTCATAGAAACCTTGAAACGCCGCATTGGGAATAAAATAGAATAAGACCTTATAAAAAAACAAATTATACTATCAGGAGAAGCACATAGTATTCTTGCGTTAGAATTAAAGCTGAAAAGAAATATCATTTCCAGATCGGCATTGGCACTGGACACACGATGATACATAAAGATGAGTACGAAAGTATCAACTGGGAGTCTTATGGTATCGCCACAAGGTCTTTACTTCGTCTAACCTTTCCAAGACAGTAAGTAAACTATACTGTGTAATTTAAATTTCATAGGCTACGTTGAAGCTCTTATCCTTCTTTTGGTTTCTGTAGTAGGGTAAATTACTAATGCAACAAATTTAATTTCTCAGGATCTTGGCGACCCATTGTTTGAGTAGGAAGAATTCACAACCCTTCCCAAGTCAAGCAAAAATGTATTTGGATCCGAGAAAAGTTGCCGATATAATTCAGGAGGTAATGAAGAAATGTGGTGCCCCAGAAAATAAGATCCGGTGAGTTAATAAACTCATATAATCATCACGCCTTTAACCCCGAACGGGTAGGCGGAGGTGCACATAACGGCACTTATAATGCCACTGCCAATAATACCACTCACTTTTCACTATTTATGTTATAAGTCCCACGTAATAGAAGGTGAGCCTATTGGCATATACCGTTCACAATTCCATATTCCGTGCTACTACTGGGATTGTTTTTTAAAAACCAGTAATACTTCCCCTACCCGGGATTCGAACCCGAGACCCTTTGCCCAGCAGTCGTACTTGTAACCACTCGGCAAACGAGGATTTCGATGAGTTAATAATGTAATTATATAGTTTTGCGCCATAAACCATTATAACAGCCTAAAAGAATAATTATAATTATACTAAATATAAGTATTTATGTTATTGGAAGATGACTTATAAATTGGCTTGCATGAACGTCCTGAAAGAAACCATCTGAATTTGGCCACTTAACGACATACTTATTTGCAGGAGCATCATTACATCTACATGCGCTGATGAGGCCAGGATACGCAAAGCACGTATGAGACAGATACCGTTTGCTAAAGTAAACAACGAAAACCTTCCACCACCAACAGCCGAGGCTGCTACACCACCACCAGCAGCTGAATAAGGAGTAAGAACAGGCTGGAGAAGTTGATAACCTACCCATGTGTGTATTTCATTGATAAAACCATACAAAATGATCCTAGTGATAAGAGAACTGAATTAATTGTGCCCGAAATTTCATTGTCTCCAGGTTGAAACCATTGACCAATACCATAGCATTAAAACTGGGTGCTTATGGGACGACGTGCTCCATCGTAGACTGCATCATTGCTTACCACCAGGCGAGATAGAGGTCAAACGTCATCCTATAAAATATAAAAAAAATCTGAGCCTGACCTACCATATTACTATTCAATTCACGTCAATTGACCACCGTTTTTAGAACCAACTACGGTACGGTATTTAAGTTTCATTTTAAAATAAATAACACTTACTTGTTTCTAGTTTACGAACATATAAGCCATTATAAGCAAGTATTTTTAGCATTTAAAGAACAGCACTGACAAGACAGGGTCTCATGAAAACAAAATATCTAATTACTTTGCCAATATACTGTGATGACATTTAAGATTTTTAACCCTAGGAAAACCCTATAATGTTAGTCCGTTTGACCCGATTTAGATAATGTTAGTTTCAAATTACTAATATATCATCTGGATTGGTAAGTACATAATACCTACTTACTATTTTACACTGACTAGGTACCTCTTAATATTAGTGTTACGAAAGAGGCTCATTGTCAATTAGAGACTGTAATAATTACACACTAAAATTGAATGTGTAGGGTAAACCACCCAATTATTGGCACTTTAAGCAGCTTCTTCACAAAACCGGTAAAATTTTCATATAAAAATATGTTTTAACAAAGACAAAAGCATTCATATTGGTCTTCTAATCTCTGCAGAATATTATAAAGTACTTGTCATTAATAAATTATATCGTTTTCTTTAATATAATGTATAATAATAAGACAAAATGATTATGTATAAGAAAAACAAAATAGATTTTCAAGTTTTAAAAGATTATGATAGCTCTTACCTTAGTAAAAAACGAATATTTTGATTGTTTTTGTCGCACAGGTCGCGGCTTGTCAAACAGATGGTAAATGCGCCGCCATGTTTGAAAAAAAATAAAACGTGTGTTGCCAGTTGAGTAATAAATGATACTACTGTTTAATTTCTACTAAAAAATTTTAGTCTGGCTACAAATAGATCTTAATTTTCTTAAAAAACTAGAGCATGCCAATAAATTGGTGGAGTGCCAATGATTGGGTGGTTTACCCTATATAATGTACTTCAAATTAATTTGTAATAATTAATAATGACTTTTATTGAATGTACCTAATTGTTTTATTTCAGAAAGTCAAAGTTTTATATTATATTTAGTTATAGATTAGATTCCCTCAGAAGTCGAGCATGAAACCAGCGTGGCACACCATCCTTTCCTCTTAACTCTGGGGCCTGCAGTAAAAAGAATGCATTATTTTTCTTGGTACCCACTGAGCACTGGACTGTTCGAGAAGTCTTTTGGTGTGTGCTGTCGACTGTAAAAATTCACTAAGTACTGTTATATCATAATACAACTTCGTCTAAATTACATGACGAAGCACTCGGTGACAATTGGTACACTAGGAAATTAATGGACCATTGATTAGCGAGTTCTGTGATTGACGTTTCGCCAAATGTTCGTGAACGGGCACCGTCGATTGGAACTGGTCAGCTCCAGACTGTATCATTTTATTTTATTATCCTCAAGGTTATTTTCTTTTTCAGTCTTTCTGACTGGATTTAGGTGTTGCATTGTTCTCACATAATCGAACCAATAAAACTATTTAACCCATAAATCCCCAAGCGGTCACCGGTGACCGCTTTCCACTAATATTACATTACATTATAGACCTTATTTCTAATGTTTAGAGAATACTTTTGTATGACCAAATTTAGGGGATGGATATCAACGGGGTAACTAGAGAATTGTATTGTAAACCTGATTGAAAAAGAGTAACCTATGGAGTTTTTACTCGTTCTTCTCCATAGGAATCTACGCCTTGGAATGAACAACTAGCTTCACTTATAAATTTTTGTTGTTTGACGTTCAAAAGTGCTATCCTGGTCTAATTGAAATAAATGATTTTGACTTGACTTTGACTTTGACTTTGACGAGATTGATTTTGGCCCTCAGACACGGAAGAAGAAAATCGAAGGTGTTATTATGGCTAGCCCCATCCAGAGCTCTAGGCTGAGGAAACTAAAGTTACAGCGGAAAAAGCGCATATTCTTTCTGAGTGTGTTTAGACACCATTTTTTTATGACGTTGACCCACACTATAATTTTCTCGTGTCGTGGGTGCGTTTACAAACATACAAGTTCACATACATATGACACCCAAATCCGGAACAACAGTTTGTGGATTACATTAACCGTTGCTCCGTGCGGGAATTGAACCCGCGACACTCAACGTGTGTCAGCCGGTTGTCCAGCCACCGCACCAACCGTGCCATCAATGACATGTGTAAATATCATAAGTATTTAAATTAAAAGGAGCTAAGCTAAGATTGGTGACATTTAACCTTTCGTGTGTCTAAGACGTGGATCCCCGCGAGACACAATGTATTGTCTATTGTGTCTTATATCGGTGCATTCGAAAGGTTAATGACATTTTTGTTTTCACGAACCTATATAAGTGACAACCTATTTGTACTGACAAATAAAGGGATAGCTATAAGCTTCCTCATGTTAACTAGGTACTCACACCAGACACCAATTTAGATAGATACTAGCGACCCGCCCCGGCTTCGCACGGGTGCAATATGTATATACATACAAACCTTCCTTAAGAATCACTCTATCTATTAAAAAAAACCGCATCAAAATCCGTTGCGTAGTTTTAAAGATCTAAGCTTACATACGGACATACAGCGAAAGCGACTTTGTTTTATACTATGTATTGATTATTATGTATCTTCAGTATAGGTGGATCTGCAGTGTATTCAATGGTGAGGATCTACGGGTGAATCAAATCATTTAAAACTTGGTATAGTACTATAGTACTATAGCCCACTATCAGTGCACATTTATTTATAGGAATATCATTAAAGCACAACAGAGAAAGAAGGAGTCGTACACGAGAGGCAGACAATGAAAACCTGCCGCCGCCGCTGCCACCAGTTGACGTTGCTGATGCTGAGGTTAGGTAGGTTAGCACAAGACTAGGGCGTAAGTGTGTCCTACGAGTATGTATACGAGTCTATGAGATCTGTGAGTATGTCTACAAGAGTAAACAGGTCTACAAGTCTACGTGGTCTACGAGGCTATGAGGTCTATGGGACTACGAAGTCTACAAAACAATGAAGCGTACGCGACTACCGAGTCTAAAATATGTTCTCCACTCACATTGTCTATTTTTCACGTATATTTTTTTCATGTTTCCATACATAGGTACATAGACTTAATGTCATAGGCATCGTGGAAGTCTTTGAATATTTTGGTATTCTGCCTAAATTCACTATTCTAGACCGATGAAGTCGGAGGCGGAATCTAGTATTATTACTTATTTGTATATAATATTTAGAATCTATAGAAAGTCGTTTTCCTTGGCTATGCACAAGATATCTTGTTGTTTGTAGGTGTGTTGAAATTACAATACAATATTGTGATCACCAGTAGGTAGGTCATTTACTTCATAGTGAAATGTGTGAGGGGAAACCTTCAAAGGACGGCTAGCTTTGGGGGAGAAAGACTAGGAAGTCTGGATCTTTTACCCTAATAAAATCAACACCTGATAAGGAACACAGATCCTCTAAATTTTTGACATTAATAAAACATTGCCATATCATTATACTTCGTATACTTTCACACATTTATTTGGCACACTTTAAGGTGAATAATCAGAAATGATTTCTAACAGATTTACGAAAAGTAAACAAAACTAATAATTTACAATTGTATGTTGTTTTATTTGAAACATTCTTAATTATATTTAAATTTATATTAATTGCAACACTGATAAATTGACAATAAAGTAGGTAAACTTCAATAAGAATGTAATAATTGTGTCGGTACCCACATTGGGCTGTTGGCGAAACATTTGACGAGTTCTCTAGACGGGGGAAGTAATCACTGCTGTAAAGTCGCAATAAAACTTTATCTGAGTTTTACCAATGTAATACGGCTTGCGATTTACGAAATCTGGACCACTCTTGGAAGTTGGACATACGATCAGCGAGTCGTGTTTTCCAAGATGAATGGTTTTCGAGAACATTCTGGTTATCTCCTCGTGCAATGGACAGATGGAGAAAGAGGACAAATCGTGGTGTCCACTGACGAAGTACTGAGCCCTGTACTTAGAATTTATACGCCAAATCAGTCGGTGATACTGTCGTATGGCAACCGACCGAGACGAGCCACTATTGTGGCGATTTCAAGTAAGAATTTTCCCCTTTTTGTAGGTGTTAAGTGCATATATGCATGTATGTATACAATACACTTAGCACTCTGGTAACATATTTTATTAAACACACGCTTTTTTTTGCGTGAAATCAAACCTAAGATATATTCCGTAGCAGTCGTCTGCCGAATCTTGCTATCATGGTCTTAGGTTAAAGATAATGGTGTGAAGAGTACATGCATGTCATTCACTAGTCGAATTCACTAAACAAATATATACCTACATTAGTAACGTTTGTCCTATCTGACTCTCATATTTTTTGCAAATAGATTGTGTGCCTGTATAAATCACTTGATAACTAATAAAACGCAAATAATTTACGTATTAAATATTATAATGGAAGGTATTTTAATTAGATAGAGTATGGAACAATGGGGTAGACGGATAATTATTGTCTTTACAATAATTATATTATTATTGTACTTAAGGGGTCGAGAGATGACTAAAATTTGGCTAAAAAATAAAATTCTCGTCCCTCAACCGCGCGGGAATCAAGCCTGCACGACACATTTCGCGGTAGCCGGTTACCCAACCGTAAGCACTAGCACACAAGCAATGAATCCGCTGTACTGTTACAGCGTTAACTGTACAGATAAATAACGGGTTATTTTTCACAGATAATCGCCTGTTACTGGATCCAGATCCAGTTAGAAGAGGACTAAGAGCAAGAGCTAGAAGGGTAAGAAGATTATCCAACTCGTCATCGTCTAGTATGCCAAGTGATGGCGCCGAATCTCCAGAGCTAACCGAGGTTGGTTCACGTTTCTATAATATGTATTGGAATATTTGAGAATTCTTTCATACTAGAAACTGTCAATAAACGTCAATTTTATTCTATAGTTAAAATTAAAATTAAAAAATTGGCTAAAAGATAGTTTTCCCTACAAAAAATTCAAACATTCACGTGGTGCTCTGATGGTTCCTTAAGACCGTACACTCGGGCCTGGTTCTGGTCGGGCGGCGAGTCACCCGTGCTCGCTGTCCGCAGGCCCGTGCGTGCTTACGGTTGTTGTTTGAACATCGCTAATCTCCGAAATTACTAGTTCGAATCGAATAATTCTTTTCGTGTAGTGTATCCATAAATCACGCTGTGATTAGTTCATGATGCGTAGACATTCGCGGACAACTTGTGCTTTACCAGAGGGAAGACTGTTCAGCCAAAAGCTCATTATTATGAATTAAAATCGAGTTTCTGAAAACAATGATACCTGCTTCCATTAACTGATTTAATTTTAAATTCAGTCTTTACATTTGCTATACAAAATTTGTACATTTTCTATTCGACGTAAATAAGCTATGACGTTTTGGACATTTCGAAATCATTTATTGGAATATGTATTTAAGTTATTTATTTTGTTTATTTTTGTATTATTATTTTTATTTTATTGTTTTTTTTGTATTGTGTATTTTATTAATTCCTGTACCAAATAAATTCTTTCTTTCTTCATGTTTTCTTAACAGTACCACAATTTCAATTGTAAGAAATAAGTAATATGAACTTTTACAGAATGACTCCGTAAAGCCTTGGATAGAACGATTCTATTGTCAACATGATAATCAGCGCTGGTTGGCAGAACAAAGATGGCAGCAAAGAATACACAGGCCCATTCCAATATTACCGCTGTCTGCACCACAACCAAGCACTTCAGGCATTACGACCAGAAGCCAACCCCATACTAACGGAACTAGCAACGGATATACCAACGGGTCCCCAGGTCCTAGCCGTAGTAATTTTAATACAGTGGAAAACATGAATGAGAATGAGATAGAGTTTAATGTAATTAGTTTTATAGCGATTGGGTCCTTAAACCCACCACCACTGCTGTTGAGAACGTTAAACCCACTACCGCAGCTGTCGGGGTCCTCAGACTCATCACCTCAGCCATCAGGGTCGTCAGATTCGCAATCGCAGCCTTCGGGGTCATCAGACTCGCAACCGCAGCCATCGGGGTCGTCAGACACGCAACCGGGGCCATCGTGGTCGTCAGTCTCGCAACCGCAGCCATCAGAGTCGTCCGACTCACAACCGCGGCCGTCGGGGTCGTCAGACTCGCAACAGTGGCCGTCGGGGTCGTCAGACTCGCAACCGCAGTCATCGGAGTCGTCGGACTCACAACCGCATCCGTCGGGGTTGTCAGACTCACAACCGCAGCCGTCCGGGTTGTCTGACTCAAAACCGCAGCCGTCAGGGTCGTCAGACTCGCAACCGCAGCCGTCGGGGTCGTCAGACTCGCAACCGCGGCCGTCGAGGTCGTCAGACTCGGAACCACTGCCGTCGGGGTCGTCAGACTCGCAACCGCGGCCGTCAAGATCATCGGACTGGCAAACACGGCCATCAGGGCCATCTGACTCGCAACTGCATCCGTCGGGGTCGTCAGACTCGCAACCGCAGCCGTCGGGGTCGTCAGACTTGCAACCGCGGCCGTCGAGGTCATCAGACTGGCAACCGCGGCCATCAAGGTCGTCAGACTCGCAACCGCAGCCGTCGGAATCGTTGGACTCTCCATCTCAGATATCAAGGTCGTTAGATTCGTCATCGCAGCCGTTGAGATCATCGGATCTGCCATCTCAGTCGTCGACGTCGTGGAATTTACCATCGCTGCCGTCGGAGTCGTTAGACCTACAAATTGCGCAGGCCAATAATAATGAGCCCGTAATAACTAGTGATGACCTTAAGAATACATTATTAGAAATTCTAGATCTGTTCCAAGCTGGTCCTAGCCGCCCCAGAGAAGACCATGCCAGTGAGAATGTTCTTAACCATGATCAATCGTCTGATGACGACAATGTTCCAATCCCGAACAATTTTAACCGTACTTCCGTCATAGTTACGAAGCCATCAACAGCAGACCTACAAACAATGATTGAATCAGTAAAAGAGAATATTGCACCGCAGGTGCAGTCTCCACAACAAACGAACAGTACCCGCAGGAGACGTCGCAGGAGACGTAACAGAGATAATAACAGTAACACAGGTAGCATAATACTACCAACGTCTCCAGGTGGTCCTTTAGATCGTATGACATGTGATAGAAATAAAACTATGGCTAACATATTTCTACGTTTTTTCTCATTTATTAGGGATGCATATGATAAAGGAACAGCACCGGACTTTGCGAATGCACCACAGTTACAAGATCTGTGGGACATTCTTAGTTCTAGCAACAGATCTGAAGATGACATCCAGCCTGGCCCCAGCCATCTCGACCCCGGGCTCCCCGGCCCCAGCCGCACCATTGAGCCAGAGATAGTAAACCAATACAGTGACAATGATATGCAATTATCCTCATTGTCCGCCCCATCAACAACATCTTCATCGTCATCGTCGTCAAGTCCAATGAAGAAAATAAGAACAGAACAAAATTATTGAAATTATAAAAAGAGCAAAACATCAATGAATAATAAATAAAAACATTTCCCGCAGGACCAACGTGAATTAAACTTACATTATATTTAACAGCAAAAAGTATATATTTAGAAACAGACTGTATTCATCAGTCTTTAAAAATATCCAAACGACTAACAGAAAACGGTAATTATGTCGTCGGAGATGGTATAATTACCATACGCCTATCAATAGTCTCAATATATATGTCTAACAATAATTTTGTATGCGGTAAATTGTGATGAATAACTTGACTATATTAATTTATACCAAACGGTTGTCGTATAGAAACGCAATCCAATAATTAGGATCTAAGCAAAGATTAGGTATGTGATTGTTATACCTAATAATTTTCTTTTCTGTGCGTGTTAGCGGTACGGTGCGAATAGACATATTGACGCATGTACAAAAGTTAAAATAATGCGATTGTTAAAACAGTAGTGGTACCATTCAGCCCATTTAGTAGGGGGTAAGTACGAAATATGGACTATTTGCAGTCCCATAGAAAAAAATCTTTTGAATGAGCACTTTATATGAATATATAAATTTCGTTACCGGCAATAATATACTTTATATTTTTAATGTATAATGTTTTATGTTTCGTTTACTCTTTCGTTTATATGGTTTCAGAGCTGAAATGTTTTACAATCGTTCTCAGAGTCGTTTAATGCCTCCTTAACTCAGTCCTCAACAATTACTTTCTCCAATTACTCAGGAATAGTTAAAGTAATCAATAATCATTGAATATCTCTGAGTACGGCATTTAGAGTAACATTGTTTAAATTAAACTCTGTTTTAACTAAACTTGTGTTAACTGACCATTGTGCACTGGTTTAAAGACTTATTACTTAAGATTTTACTTATGATATTTTAGTATTTAAGGAAATTACATTTTTATTTTTCACTTTAATAGTAAAATACCTATGTTACTGGGCTTTACTTGGGTGAAAATTAAAACGAAATCTAAAATTTTTCACCCCAGGAAAACCCTGTATTGTGAGTCTTATCGAAATCGCTTGAGCCGATTTCGAGAATGTGACGGTTTTAAATATTTTCATTAATTAAATATTATATGAAATGTATAATGATAGAATAATATGATAAATAGTATATATGTATTAGTAATTAATAGTCTGTAAATAGAATTTTAAGACGTGATGTGATCCTACGTACACAATGGTAGTTACTTGATGTTTATGTTTCACATTTTATACAATTAACAACTGATCAGGGTTTAAATTTTATGGAAACTGAACATAAATTAAAAAATTATATGATACGAAAGAGACCTAACGTTAAGTTTAAAGTATACAAATATGTGCATATAGATATATTTTTTTATCAATTTTTTTTTTTTATATAAATAATGAATTTGAATAAATATAATGACAGAACATAAAAAAATTTTTTTTTTTGTTTTATTTCACAATTTCATTTTGTATGTTTTAGGTATATCATTGACTTTTTTTTTTTAATAAATTATTAACACACCTTTTACTCCCCAAAGGGATAGACAGAGGTGCACACTGTACATATTACATACATAATTATACAATGCAACAACCATGTTCCACCTGTTATTTTTTTTTTTTGTACAAAAAAAAAATTTTATATATTTCAGTACGTACCGTATAGTAAAGAAGTTATAAAGACGTAAAAAATTAATTACCTACGTGTCTATACATACAATACATTCTTAATTTCAGAAACTAATTTATAAATAAGTCATTTTATACATCCATTTTTATATTTATTATATTTTAACAAACCTGAGTTGGCGATGAATTTAAATTCTCAGAATGAGAAATATGTATCAAAAATTTTTTCAATATGTATAAAAAAAAATAGGCCTTTAAACTGTCAAACACCAAGCGGTCACCGGTGACCGCAACCTATTGTTCTATAATCGTGTCTACAAAACCGGTACTCGACGAGTTAATACGGCGAAGAAAGATATCTTGAGATAAACTGGACTTGACAATGGTTATGTTTCTGTAACCAAAAACATATTGTTTTCACTAAAAATAATAATACAGTATTTAAAAGTAATTTAAATTGATATTTTTGTGAAACATAATTCATAAAAAGCTATTGTTTTTGTCGAAAAGTATTGAATTTCACTAGTTGGGAACTTTCTGATAAAATGATAAATCGTAAAATCAACAATTGGCCATGAGCAAGTTTTGTGTTGTGTTGTGAGCAATCAATTGCGCATTCCTTCTCCGTATAACAGACCTTTACCCAGCAGTGTGACTACTTAAAAGCTTGATATCTATATAAAACAAATGCACATAGTCATAGCCACTGCGTAGAAAAACTAATAAGTCCACATCATGTCAAACTAGGCTTTAATACCGCCTCATAAAGTCGATTGTCACTTACACACTTAACGTCCTTGTTGGAATATCCCCAGGGGTGATAATACAATATCAGTGTTGGTGCTTGCGGTGATTGCTCTCATCAGCATCATGTCATCAGGAGTGAACTGCCACCCGCTCAGCTGACCGAGGCTCGTAAGTTTGGGACAGCACTCGATCAAGAGGTCGACCGTGTCTCTTGTCAAACGCGGCGCATTGGGGAACCAAATGCCCTCCAAATGCTCGAATTTGTTTCGGCGAAGCATCCTGTAATGGGAAATATTTGACGATAAAAACAGATCTGTTCTTGTTTTTAGTTTTAATCCCAATGTTCTAACTTAAATGTCTATCGGCAATGTTTTGGTGAAGCTTGACTTCATTATGTATTTAGATAATTTTAAATCGTCAACTTTAATTTCAACATTGTTTGTCGTTAGACGATTATTAAACGATGTAATGATAAAAGTCCGTAAACAAATAGAAATAAACAATACTTATACAAAGACAATTTGTTACGATACAAAAATAACTGGACAGAACATAAATCACTTACCGCGACATATCATTGTCATCCAACTTGATTTCGTCGCCGATAATCAATTTCTTTAGCTTAGGACTACCAGTCATCAGGTACTTGAGACACGATGTCGACAGGTTCCCGTGAATAATTTCAATGTGCTGCAAATTGTTGAACGGTATCTCTTCTTCATGCGTCGCCGTTTGTATTTGATAGAACTCTAAACTTTCCAGATTCCTACATGTTTCTGCGACCCTGGTGAAGTTGAACGACCCTGTAGATGCAGATAGCATCAACGTTTCTATCTTGTGACCAACCTTATCAAGTAACTGGTGAAGTTCGTGACACTGGAATTTATTCAGCTTAATCTTAGTAACATTGTTCAACTCTTTGATCTGCTGCAGTACACCTTGGTCCGGCTCCTCCAGGTAAATGGTCTCTATCATGGGACACAGCGCAATGATCGCCTTCATCGTGCGCATGTTAGTCTGCACGTCATGCATGTACTGGAGCTTTGTTTTGAAATCCGGGTCCGTCCTGTATATCGAGTAAACAGATTTACCAACAAACGAGTAACTGCCAAGATTAGTGAGGTTTGGCAGCCGCCGTATTAATAAAGCGACGTCTGTGTGATCAATGTTCTCCTCGCCGTACATTCCTATGTTTACCACAGTCAGACTTTGAGTTAATTGCGGGTTCCCCGTCAACATAGCGTCTATACCGATCTCTGTGATGTCCGTTTCACCAGAAATGTCCAACAACTTCAACACCTTATTGTACTTGCCGATATATTTGAGCACTTCGTCGTTAGCAATGTATGGAATATTTAAACATGTTAAATTAGGAAGATTTTTCAACAACTGATACATTATTGGCAAGTGGTCGTCCTTAACCCATACTCCTTTCAAATTGAGAGCAGTCAAGTGGTGACCTTGCTCCATAATGAGCTCAAGGACCTTCCTATAATAGGGTAGAGGAAAGATTCCCGTCGCTAAACTTTTGACGTTTTCTTTGAGCAGTAGTTTCATTGTGTAGTATCTAACGGAGGGTTCTAAGTACTCCGAGCTAAGTATTAAGTTAATGAGATCCTGGAATATGTCATTGGTGGCGCCCATGCTCTCGTAGTACGAGGAGACCATAGCGAACTCCAGCGCGGAATCTTCTTCAGATGAAACACGAGACAGGGCGTGGATCAACTGTCTCGCCACTAACGACAGAGTGATCTCCTGTAGCGGCGGCACTGGTAACTTGGGCGACATGTTTGCACAAACTACAGAGGTCCAACTAAATAAAATATCACTTTCACTAATATAACACTACTAAGTCGCACTAATTGAGCATCGCAGTATCAGTGCTGCGGCTTTCAGTTTTGGGAAGAGAAAGAAGTGAAAAATGGTGTAGCTATTTAGCTCACGCATGCGCACCGCGCGGCTGGCACTGCGCCAGCGCACGTTTATAATTCAAACTCACACAACTCGCGCCGTATTTTTAGAACTTTTATAAAAGGTGTTTATGGCTAGTGGCGTATGCAATTGTTATTATAAACTGATTTCGTACATAAAAATTGAGATCTACCGAGCGGTCTCTGCGCGTGAGTAACAACGCCAGTCGCGCGCGAATAAAGCATTCGATGGGTTAATGGTACATTTTTATGTCTGACGTTTACAACTATGTACGTTTAATCGGTGTGTTTTGTGTTAGGTTTATCTCGTATTGATATAAATAAAGACGAGGCAACAGTTTCTAAGACATTAATATTGTGACATTTGGAACCAAAGCATTATGTTGTATAATATCATTACTATTTCTATCGTGTCGCTTAATGAATATGCGACATTCAAAGTGCGTAGGATAAAATGACTTATATTTAAAACTGAAGTAATTAACTTTGGCACACAAAAATAGCA